ACATGCTGCAGAGCGAACACGCACCACCCTGCCCTCGGCGTGTCGCCGCAGAGGATGCGGTGCAAACCCTACTGGCAGCATCCCCATCCCTGCAGGGCTCCAGGGCAACGTTCCCCCGTGGAGCAGAGGAAAAGCCACTGGCCAGGGGTACCATTTCCAGCACAAACATGTTCAGAGGGCAGCTCCACCTGGCACGCTGATGCTTTTGCTGTCTCTGTGCACCCTAGGATGCATAGCAGGTGTATAACTCCAGTTGTGCCATCCCTAGGTCTTTTTCCCTCTCTAACAGCCCCTCCTGCCATCTTGCAAGTCTACTTTCACCACCAGCCTCTTCCTAACATCTCCAGTTTGCCTTGCCTTGCCCTCTGCCTGCTTGCTCACCAGCATTTGACAAACAAGGAGAAATACATCTCTGGAGCAGCTGCACACCGCTGCCAGGAGCCATCCCAGAAGCAGAGCAGAAGGGTGCAAAGAAATAAAAAATAAATAAATCAGGGTCTAGTGACCATAACACACAGTTGCACCCTCCTCCCACCCTGACCAAGGGAATACAAAGAGTTGACAAAGACGATGGCCACTTACGCCAAGGCGAAAGCCACCAGCGCTCCCACCACTACGATAAAATCCAGGATGTTCCAGAGATCTCGGAAGTAGGAACCGTCCTGCAGGATCAAGCCCTGATCGATCATCTGCAGAGGGGAAACGGCGAGAAAAACAGGCAGGGAATGAGCAGCTCGGCCATCAAGTGGAAGCAGCCGCAGGCGGGATGTGCTGGGGACAGGGACATTGCTAGGGAGCAGCGGACCTGTCCCTGTGCCCCAGGTATATTTAAAGGATAATCATATTTTGAGAGCCTGGAGACTGATAAAAGCAGTGCTGAGCATTCTCAACTCCCACCACTAAGAACCAGGCTTTAAAGTCTCCATCATCCAAGCTTAGGACCAGAACCATAAAACTGAGCTATTTCCCACCCGCTGCAAGGACGCTGCGGGACACAGCATCCCCAGCGCAGCCAGCTCGCAAGGTCTCCTACCTTGATAACCATCTCGAAGGTGAAGACGCCAGTGAAGACATAGTCGAAATACCTCAGGACCTGCAGAGAGAGGGCACGGGCGCTCTGCAGCCGCTGCCAAGCAAACGGGCTCGCCGGTGTTCACCCAGACCCCGTTACCACCCTGCACCGGGGCTGGCCTGGCTCAGGTGCAGACAGAGGGTTGGTTTGCTTGTCCCAAACCCGGCCTGTTCCCTAAGAGTTTAGGACAGCCATAAACTCAGGCTGCATAGGCAGGAGAAAAACATCTCCCATGCACGATGCAAGCGGCTCTGAAATCACGCTGCGAGCCGGAATCATGCTCCCCCATACCGGTCCCCGCGCACATCGGCATCTCCCCAGTTTAAGCTACTTTACTACCAATGAGGTGTCCTGGTCTGCTCCCCATGTTCTAAACTCCACATGTAGGAGGCTGAGAGGGATTTCCAGGGTTTATAAAGGTAGGTGATGGGGGAAGAAGTCAGACCCCATGGCGCAGTACAGGTGCTGCCACCAGCTGCCCTGATCCATGTCCCGCACGTGCCCCACCATGGAAGCTCACATCCTACAGGACCTCTGCCTGCATTGTCTCCGGGATGGGGGGAGGAGGGGAGGTTTGCAATCACTTTGTTACGGTCAGAGTTGGTGAGGACGGGATCCTCCGCCGCGAGGGCGATGCTGCTGGCGGCGATCACGAGGAGGATGCACATCTCAAAGTAGCGCAGGTTCACGATGTAGTGACAAGCCCTCCGCACCCTGCAGGGAGACAGACCGCACCCCAACCTGAGCCCCCGGTACACCCCAGGCATGGCCCATGTGCAAAACCCACCCCACATCACCGGCCTCCAGAGCAGAAAGATGAGCAGCAAAGCCTGAGGAGCAAACTGAGGGAGCCCAAGGGTGGTTTGGGCTTGCTGACCCCTCTGCTCAGCTGTCCCAGCCCCCCCGACACCCCATGGCCAGCCAGGGAGAGTCCCTGAGAAACTGGGGGGCTTATTCTTCCAGGCTGCTGGAGCTGGGCAAGCTCCAGGGGAGCAAAGAACTGCAGAGGTGTGCAACAAGCATTGAATAAAAATCACAGCTAGCAATCAGCAGTCAGGAGAGAAAGCCACGAACGTGGCTGGCTCAGAGGGAGAGCGCTCCCAGGGCTGGGGAACGCTGTGGCTGCTTAGCCAGGCTCTTTGGGAGATACTCAGCCCCCTTCCCAAGGGGATCCCCTGTTTTCAGTGACATCTAGGGGTCCTTCCCTTTGCAGCCCTCCCCAGCCCCTGGCTCCTACAGCCCAAAAAACATCTCACGGGTTGGTGGTGCTGAAGATGAACATGGAGCTGTGCGGCACCATTGCTTTGCCAGTCTCGCTTTTCTCCTTCTTCCTCTTCTTCTTCTCCATCTCGTCCTCGTCCTCTTTGGTCTCGGCCTCCTTTAAGGGGCTGGCTTCACCGTCTGTCTTGTTGCTAACTGCAGAAAAGTGAGAGCCTTTGCCTGGCCTTGCACCCAGACAGCACCCTGGGGTGTCCCTGCCACCCAGCCACATGTAACCCCCCCCCAGTTTCTGCCCACATGTACCCCCCCCCCAGTTTCTGCTCTGCATCCCCGTGCCACCACAAGGAGAGGGACCAGAAGGGAAGAAAAGACACAAGCTGCTGGGACAAAGCAGACGAAAGGGGTTTTAACGAGGCCAGCTTTTGCGGTGCTGTTTAATTAATAACACCGTTTAAAGCGGCTCACCTTGACAGCGAGGATGCTGCGAGGGGATTTGAGCGGCAGCGAGCTGGGCGGAGGCTGCGGATGTGTTAGGAAAAACAGGGGATGCGAGTGTTTTGCCCAGGGGAGAGGAAGGGAGAAGGAGGGATCAGGCAAAGGAGCGAGTGGGAAGAAGGTGAGAACAGGAGAAGCTCCCCAGGGGATGGTGGCACATCAGCATCGTGTCCAGAGTCCCCTGCAAAACTGGGGTGCTGCAAGGAGCAGCAAGGAAAGCCCCCCCGCCCCGCCAGTTGATGGATGCAGATAGGAAAAGCCGCACAAGCAGCTTTCCATCCCCGCAGGGTCCCTGAGGGCTGGGAGAAGGGCTCAGGAAAGAGAGACGGGTCCTCACTCTGTACCACAGCGGAGTCGGGGACATCGATCGTGATGGTGGTGCTCTCCGTCGCCTTCTCGGTGTTGGGGGTGATGGAGGAGAGGTCGGGCTCGCTCCGGCTGACGGTGCGGCTGGCCTCCAGCAGCGCTTGCTCACTTGTGTCCAGGCTG